ATAAAAAGAATTAAGATAATGTGATGGACATGCACCTACCCCTCACTCCCCACAATGAACGCAATCATTATGTACTGCAAATAAATACTAATAAAAAATTTTTAAAAACCCACATACTCCAAAAAAATTTCTTACTGTGCCTAATTTATTAATTAAACTCTTATCAAGGCGTGCATGTATGCATGGGGGAAAATATATATATATACATGATTCAGTACTATCTGTGGTTTTAGGCATCTGCTGAGTCCTAGAATGTATCCCCCATGGATAAGAGGTGACTACTATTTTAGCATTGTTTTCTTTTGCAAGCTGTAGGTATGTATTTGTTACATTAATCTTTTTATCTTCCTCAATGTTTTCAAAATTTAAATGTATTTACTAAGTACTGACCTAGATCAAGCACTGGGCCATGTGAATGGTATAATGGTGAGTAAAACCAGATCCTAACCTGCCCAAAGCAAATGAAAAGTGAAAAAAAGAGACATTTCTCTTTTCTGGGCTTCTCTTTGAACATGGATAAAATGAGAACTGGACTAGAAGTTTGTGAGTAGAAGGTCTCTGAGGATCTTATACCTGGAAGTGTGTCTCCCCTTGTCAGCCAACAACCTCCTAAGAATTCATCATGCATGATGAGAACACAGGGCCTAGAACCAGTTCTGATGCCATCAGCCACTGCAAGTGGGCCTAAAGCAAAGCCCAACTTCTCTAGTCTGCTTCTTCTTAGTAAAATAAGGATAGTAACTTCTCCCTCCTAGGATTACTGCAGGAATATAAATGACACAGCACATATAAAGTGTCAGGGACAGGCCTGGCACAGGATAAATCCTCAACACATGGGAGGTCCTCACTTTAATTCCACAAACACTTCCTGAGCAGCAACATTGGGCCAAGCCCCTGCTAGGGGCAGGAAGACAGAGAAATTCCACTCTGAATGGTCAAAGCTGTGGCTCACAGCCAGGTGGGGAGATAGCTTCATAAACCATGCTGCTAGGCAGAATGATGTCACTGCTAAAAAGAGAACAGCCATGTGCACAGATGCAGACCACATTTGATGGAGACCCTTGGACCAGAAGAGATGTTCCAATCAAAAGGCCCAGGCCAGACGTGGAGAGAGGCCCTCACAGGGACAAAGGCAAGGTACAACATTAAGAGATCAGTCTCCATTCATGTTGCAGCACAGCCTTCTTGTCCTTTTTTTTTTTTCCTCTTCCTACCTAATTCTTACTCAAATATTCTCCCAAACCCCAGAACAGACACTGCAATGGATTCAACAGTGGGCTTTGGGAAGCCTGAGCTTATGACACATCCTAAGATGTCCCTGGGGGAGCACAATGACTAACAAGCTGTGCAGTCTCTGGCAAGTCAGGACACCTCTTCAAACTTCCACTTCCCCAGCTGTAAAATGGAGACTATAATACTACTGAGCTCATAACAGTGCCACCTCATAGGGTTGTGGTAAAAGTGATGTAATAACTACAGTTATTAGCCAAGTACCTGGCACTTAATGATCAGATCAATAAAGAGTAATTATTATTTAGAAAAAATAGATTCCATTTTGAAATTGAGTTCAAGTAGGGTTCAGAGAGGTGAGATGACTTGCTCATACTCACATAGCTAAGTTATGGAGTCAGGATTTCAACCCAGACCTGTGATAGTAAAGGCTCGGTGCATCATTTCCCTCTGATTCAAAATCTTCAGCAGGTTCCCTGCAGTACACTAAATGGAATCTGTCCTTGCTGTAGAGTGAGAAACCAGCAAAAGGTTGGGACCATAAAAGACCTTGGACAAAGTACTTCATTCTGGGTTTCTTGATCTGAAATCCCAGAGTAGGCCTGTGAATTCCTCCACACCATATATGCAAAAGTTTGTGTCTAACGGAGATTCTCAAAAGAGTCTAAGTCTCAAAAGTAACAAACACTGACTTAACCTCCTTAGCATGATTCTTATCCATCTAGTACCTACCTTGAAAGGCTGTGAGGGGATCAAATGAGGTGATTTGTGGTCAGTACGTGAAACATCCTCAACTTTCACAAAGTGTCAATTTCCACTCTTCCCTACTCAACCTGCTTCCACCATTTAGCAAATACTATAACTCAGTAGCAGACACCATTCCCGGTGCCGGGGGGGGTAAAGTGGTGAACCAGACAGACTGGCCTTATTTTGATGGAGCTTATATTCCAGTAGAATGAATCAACAGTCAAATAAAAGTAACAATTTTCAGGTACTAAGAAAACTCACAACATAGTGTAATACAGATTGAAGGAATCTAAGGAGGAAACCTCTTAATGACAGAGAGCCAGTCATGCCAGGATGTAGGGGTAAAGCATCCAGGCAAAGAAGCAGGAAAGGCAAAGCCTTGCTAAAAGACCCAATCCCAGCTCAAATTCATGCAACTTCTGAGCTACCACACCTCCAAAATGGGAATGAAGCCATCTTACCTGACACAAAGTGAGGGGATTTAACCAGAGAGCTGTTAAGTTCTGGGATCCTCCTCAAACCTCTCCAAAAGACACCTGATGTGTGTCACTGGGCACCCATTTTTGAAGAGGGGAGCCTGCACAGAGAATTCTGGGTCATGTGTTCTGATTTTTAATTTCTTGCTGCTCCAGAAATAGCTTTCTTTGTTCCTGGTTAATACAATGGCCTTTTCCTGCTACCTGGGACTTATTCTAGTAACTGCTGCTTCATATCCCAGCCAGGTGCAGAAGAACACAAGGAAAAGACATCAGCAAACATTGTTCTGGCAATAACTAGACCACCTCCATCCACACAAGAGGATTAGAGGGCTCAACCTGCCCTCAGCATGTTTTAAGAAATTGAAAGAATCCCCCCCAAAATTAAAAGAATCATACCACAGTGATATATGTGCACCCATGTTCATAGCAGCACAATTTATAGTAGCTAAAGCTTGGAAACAGCCCAAGTGCCCATCAACTGGAGACTGGATAAAGAAAATGTGGTTTTTAAAAAATAAAATGGAGTACTACTCACCCATAAAAAATGAGAAACTAGAGACATTTATAGCTAAGTGGATGCACATTGAGGCGATACTCTTAAGTAAAATAAATAGGACACACATGTAAATACCAGTTTCTCTAGTGTGAGAAACTGAAAGTGTAAATAAGGACTAAAATGTATAATAGATAATGTGAAACAGGAAGAAAAGGGGCAAAGGGGAAGGGAAAGTGGGATGGGTAGGGGAAAGGAAAGAAGGGAATGGAATTAATATGAGAAAATGGAAAAATAGAAACAAAATCTTTGTAAATAGGGAGGGATGGAGGGGTTGAAGGGAGGGCTGGGCAAGGGTGAAAAATAAGAACCAAGAGAGATTATGTAAAGGTACAAGTTCCCAATGAGAAATGTAAATGTGTTATATACCTAAAATGTACCAATAAAAGAATTTAAGTAAGAAACTTCATACAAAAAAAAAAAAGAAAGAAATTGAAAGGATCTTGATTTCTGGGTTGGGCCACTAATTTATAATCAGTCACAGTTCTCCCTTCTGAAGCTCTCTTTAATCCGTAGTCCCTTTTTTCCCCATCTCCAAAGCCACTGGTTAGCTCAGGCTCATCATTTTACATCTTTTTTTTTTTTTTTTTTGGTACCGGGGATCTAACTTGGGTCCTTGTGCTTGCACAGCAGGTGGCAAAACCACTGAGCTAAATCCCCAGCCCATCATTTTACATCTTAACTATCTCTGATCTCTTTGGCCCTAGTCTCTCCATTTCCAAATTATTTTTCATACTATAATTAGTGCCTAAAAAACAAAACTGACTGATTTTTTTTCCTGTTTAAAACCCTTTGTCAACCCCTTTGTCCACTGAACCAAACTCCTTGATCTGATATCCAAGGTTATATCTCCAAAACTGAGCTCCTAATATCCTGCTCTGAACCCCAGGTCTTCCTACACCAACTTCTCATTATCTGCAAAACAAAAATACTAAGGATTATATGCCTTTGCTGCTTTTGGTCCTGCCACTTGGAGCATTCTACCTCACACCTCCACCTCTATTTCCTTCACTGCTTAAGCATTCCTGTCCACCCTTCAAGATCCAGAAAGCCTTCCCTAAATCCTTCAGAAAAGTACTATCTACTTTTTTTTTTTTTTTTTTTTTAAAGACAAGGTCTTGCTATGTAATTCAGGCTGGTCTTGAACTCACTATGCAGCCCAGGCTAGCCTTGAACTCACAGCAATCCTCTGTCTTGGCCTCCCAAGTGCTGGAATTCCAGGTTTCGGCCACCACATCCAGCTTATCTACCTTCTTATTCAGATTGAGAGCAGGTGTTGTGTTTTAAGCATGGCTAATTCCCTAGGGCTTGGACCGATCCATTTCAAGTTTACTAAGTTCTTATCAGGTGCTTTAGACTGAAGCAGTTAAGGAACTGGTACTGCCAAGGAGTGAGGTGGTGGTAGGATCATGGATCTAAAAAAACTGGTCCAGATCCCGATGCAAGAGCTGCTGAAGAGTATGAAAAACACTGGGTTACTGTCAAACAGTCCTGACTTCCAAATTTCTGGAAAAATGAAAATGCTTTCATTTTGCTTGAAAGACTTTTCCTGTCCTGTCTCAGGTGGGTTTTTCTGGGTGGTGATAGGGCTGGGAAAGAGCCTGAGCTCCAATACTGGTTCAGCTCCTAACGCGCTATCCAACTTTGTGCCAGTCTCTGTCAATCTCTGGGCCCACCTCTACCTCTATCAACTGTGTCTCTGAGGTTGTGACTGTCCCAATCAGAGCATTAAGTTTCCTTATCTTACACAGGAAGTCACTAACTCTCACGCTAACTAAACACACCCGTAGCACCCCGACCCAGCCTGACTCCTCCCTTACTTCCCAAGGGCCGATATGTCTGAGTGCAGCTGACCCACCCCTAAAACCAAGGAGGCTCTCACACGGACTGCCCCTTCCCGGCTGCCGTCCAGCTCCACAGGCCCTGGTCTCTCTTCCCCTCCCTACTCCTTAAACCCACGGAGGGCGGTCTGCGCAAGCGCACTGGGGGCCTCCCGAGGCCCCGCCCCCTGAGTCTGGGTAACGGCGCCAGGGCCCTGAGTTCGGTGAGCGGCCGGACAACGAGAGAGTAGGTTGGTGCTTAGCGACGGCGGCTGGGAAGGGTCATGTTTCCTCGAGAGGAAAGATGTGAGGGAGGGGTCTGATGAGCAATTGGAACGCTTGAGACCCGGAGATCTTGTAGCTGAAACATGTCACAGGGAAACTTGGGTCCAGTGAGGGGAACGGGCCGGGGCGTGTTGATTCTAGATTTTCCAGATCTCCCGCCTCCAGATCGGGCTGGTGTCGGGGGTACAGTGCCAGTGAGACTAGAGTCAGAGCTGAAAGACAGGAAGGAAGCGGGGAAAAAATCCGAACCCTAAAACACAGTGGGAGAGATTAGGACCAAACTTTGTTCGAGATGAGTGATTGGCCCGTCCAGTGAGCAAGCCGAGGCATTTTCCCCCTAGCCCTGGGCGGGGCGCTGTCCTTGTCTTCAGGATAAAGTCCAACCGGATTTCCTTGTGGGCAGTGTAAGCTTTTGGTGATTTATTCATTTATTTATCGTTCATTAAATAACTAGGCGCTGATACTAGGTAGAGAAGTGATCAAGACAAGTGCTATCCCAATGATACTGGGGAAAATAATGGGCTGTAGAAGCTCTAGATGGAGAACAGGGACGACTTCCAAAGCTAAATCAGTAGTGACAAGTATCTCAAAGGGAAAACAGCATCTGCAAAGACCTGGAAGAGGGAGAGAGGCTGATGTGTTTAGGTCACTGAAGATGCTTTGCTCAATCTGTTTAGTGCCCAGGGAAGAAATGAGGATGCAGGGGCTTGACTGCTAACTGTGGAGACAGACAAAAAGGATTCAAAGCTATGTATTTAGACAGTTGAATCCACAAGATTGGAGAATGGGGAGTAAGAAAGAAGTACACAGGAGGCCAGTGTGAGGTTCATCAAAGGAGAAGCAGATTTTTGGGGAGCCAACAGATTCTTTTATGGTTGTGTGGAGACTCCCAAGAAGCAGTTGGATATTCTATTTTGAAGATCAGGAAAGTGCTGTTGTGAAAATGCAGATTTGAGTGTCATCAGCAAAACAGAAACAAAACCATAAGAAAAGCTGAGACTATAGAATGAGAAAAACAAAGGGCCCAGTTAGCACTTTATATAGTGGTTATTTTTATGTCTTATATTCTGTGTTCCCATTACCTAGTCAAGATTCTGTTATTAAATCCAAGCCCACAAAAAGCCCAGCAGCATATAGTTGTTGGAAACTCAGAGTTGTAGAAAGATGAGGGCTAATAAAGGGTCCCATTGGTCTAGTGTCAGTGTCATGGGTTTTTAGTCATGGCTCTACCACCAGGCTGCTGTGTGACCTCTGACAAGTTTCCTTCCACCTGTAAAGTAGGTATAGCCCCCTCCTCCCAAAAGCTTCCATGTATAAGGTCTGCTGTGGTTTGGTTGTGGTATGAGTGTGCCCCTCAAGGGTTCATGTGTTTGAGGCTTGGTCTTCAGTATGATGATGTTGGGAGGTGGTGAAACCTCTGAGTTAGGACCAAGGACTGGGGATTTAGCTCAGTGGCACAGTGCCTGCCTGGCAAGCACGAGGTCCTGAGTTCAATCCCCAATACCAAAAAAAAAAAAAAATTAGGACCTAGTGGGAGATCCTTAGGTCGTTGGGACAGCTGGCAGTTGAAAGGGATTAAGGATAGGTCTTGTGAGACCCTTAGTTAATTAGTTATAAGAATGAGCCTGGTCCAGATATTTAGCTCAGTGGTTCCACTGCTTCTCCCGCCTGCCTTGCAAGTGGAATGTCATTGCAAGGTCCCTAGTTCGATCCTCAGTACCAAAAAAAAGAATGAGCCTGACACCTAAGTCACTTTCCCTGGCTCCCTCTCACATTCCCACCAATGTAGTACCATGTGCCATAAGGTCCTTGTCCTTGAACCCAAAACTATGAGCTAAATCTCTTCTTTATGAAGTTATCCAGACTCAGATATTTCATTATAGTAAAAGAAAATGGACTAATACGTACTCCAAACATGCTGAGACACTTGTCACAGGTTTTTCTCATTTAATCCACACTTTGATCTTACTTATAAGAGAAGTAATATTGTGGGCTCAAACCCAGATCTGTCTGACTCCAAAGCCTTGTTCTTTAATTATTATCTATTTCTAAACTGATAGGGTTGTTGTCAAGATCCTTTTGAGATCACATGCTCATTCATTTAAAACATTGCGCTGAGGCAGGCAGACTCACATAATTGATCTAATACCAGCTCTGTTATGAGGAGAGGGGGACAAAGCTGAATGTGATGGAGAGTTCTCTCACTAACTTCTGGCAGACCATTGATTTGGACAGCCACGTTTTGTCCTGAAAATTAAATGAGAATAGGGCAGAACAAAATTAATGACTAGTGTTTCCAGATTTTTATCCACATCTTCCTAAAATTCTGCAACCTGCTACAAAGTGAGTGAGTTGCAAGGTGTGAATTGGTACATCTCTGTGTGTCTCTGGACAACCAGTCAGACTCATCCTCCTATTACAGTGAGTATTTGGGTTTCGTTATTTCTACCCTACTAACATGATTTCTCAAAAATATTTGCTGTCTTTTGCTGCTTTACTGATGTGCATACATAGAATATAATCATTTCCTGCTCGTAAGTTTGCTTTTGATTAGCATGAGGGAGGAGTTCACCTTGTCTGTAGGGCTCTTTCTCTGCGTCCTATGTGGTTTATTTGAGCTCTGCTGACATGAGTTGCTGGAGTGAGAAGGGAAGTTAATAGTCTATTCAACTTGTTCCTATCCTGTAAAAATTTATTTAAAATACTGATCCTCAGACCCTTTCTCCTTTAAGACCCTTTTAATCAGAGTTGCTGGGGTGGGGCCCAGAAATCTGTATTTTCCCAGGCAACCCAGAATTTTCAGCTATGATAGGAAATCATTGATCTACTCCATCACCTTTGTTTCTTCAGCTTCTTTCTCAATGCAAAGTATTGGATTGGTACCTGAGTTGAAGTCTAGGCTTTTCCAGTCATTACTTAGGGCAAGTCATTTCACCTCTCTGAGCCTCTACTTGTTACAGTGAGAATGATGCCATTGTTGTACCTTGGGAAAGCTCTGTAAAGCTGTCTGTCTGTGTATACGGAAGTTAAGAGCTGGGACTCTGTGGGACTATGAAGTGTTCATTTCCTGTATCATGCTGTCTTTTCATGTGACCTGGTCAGGGGTGGCCACCAGCCAGGTTAGTGGTGCTGGGTCCCAGGCCGTCTGTCACTAAGCTCTCTTGTCTGTCGCAGGTGACATGGCCACAAGCTGGGAGAGCCTCTTGCAAGATGAGCATCTGCTGGAGGAGCTGGCTCTGCAGGCCATGGACCGGGCCTTGGCTGAGGGTGTGTTGCTGAGGACTTCGAGGGAGCCCAGCTCCTCAGATGTAAGCCCTGCCCTCCCCGCAGCACTGACCATACTTCTCAGATCCTACTCCCCACTGTGTGGCCCCTGTCAGGCTGGGGGAAGCTCTGTTGGTTTAGAACATGACTCTTTTGCTTTATTTTATTTTATTTTATTCCATGGCTAAAATTGATCTCTAAAAGTATGCAAAGAGCAGCATGTTGGCGTAATCAAATTTATATCTAGGGTTTAAAGTGTGATTTAGGCAAGTTACTTAACCTCTCAGCTGCACTTTCTTCAGATCTGTAAAAGGTTATTAATAGTCCCCACAGTCAAGAAGCTGAGGCAGGAGGATCATTTGAGCCCACAAGTCAAGATCAGCCTGAGCAACACAGTAAGACCTCATCTCAAAAATGAAGAAGAAGAAGAAGAAAAACCTTCATCACTTAAAAGAAAACAAGCTTTTTAAAAATTTTTGTGACTAGGTAAAACGTTTTCATGGTTCAAAATGTAAAAGTTACAAGAGTTTACATTTTAACCCTCCTTTCCACATTTCCTGGATACCTAATTCTCCTATCCTGGAGACAGCTTGTGTTTTAGCATTCTTATTCATCTTTTTCAGGTAGTTTATTCACAACAAGTAAATAGCTATTCCCTTTTCTACTTTGTACACAAAGAAGCACATTAGGCAGGTACTTCTGTAATTGCTTTTTTAAAAAACTCAGTATACCTGAAGACTCTTCATATTATTGGTCCCTACAGAGCCAGCATGTGGGAAGTCCACACTCAGTGTTTGCTGAGGTCCATGTACATGAAGCCAGCTGATTCTGTGGAAGGTCTGCCTCTGGCTTTGGGAATAGAGTTGCCTGGGTTGTGAACCTAGATCTTGCGTATTGTTTGAATCCAAGATGAAATATTTTCCCTTTCAAGCTTTTATTTTTTATTTCTCCTGTTAATAAATAGATATTAGACCTTGTCTTTTGGTACCTGGGATCGAACTCAGGACCTTGCACTTGCAAGGCAGGAACAGTGCCCCTGAGCTAAATCCCAATAAATAAATATTATATGAAGCTCTAACACTTGGTCTTTCTGGGACTTAATAGAGCCTAGAAAAGGCACAATACTCAAAGAGAATTCTAATTGGAGAAAGACAGGAAGTGTACATATATGATTTCATTTCACATCTTTACCTGGCCCTCCTCTAGGCACTGAAACAGAGGTGGATCAGCCAGAGGTGCTAGCCTCTGGAATTCCAGGTCTAGTTGAGAATGTGTCATAACACAAAATTAAATAATGTCAGCTCTATAAGGAAACATAGGCAGTGTGCCACATAATCTTAGCTATCATTTATTATTTAGTATGTGTCAGACACTATTGTACTGTGTTGTTTTTTGAGACAGGGTATCACTGTGTAGCTCAGGCTGGCCTTGAACTCACAGTGATTCTCCTTTCTCAGCCTCCTAGTACTGGGATTACAGGCATCTGCCACCACATCTGGTTTATAAATGCCAAGTTTTAACACCATAAACTTGTACCACCATAATGGCAAACTAATATTAACACAAAGGTTAAACTCAGGAATTCTTCATAAGTCAAGTCACAGGACTTCTTACCATCTCGACCCAAGTTCTAATTCATTTGTTGTTGGGAATCTCAGAATAAATTTTCCCCTTCTAGAATCAGTGTCCTAGATGGTATTTGAGTTTCTTGGCTATGTCAAAGTCCAAAGAATCCAAGCTTGGTGTGGTTGTGCATTCCTGTAGTCCCAGCACTCTGGCAGGCTGCCAAGGCAGGAGGATCTTACGTTCAAGCCCTGTCTCGGCAACATTGACTTAGCAAGACCTTGTCTTAAAATGAGAAAGAAAAAAGGGCTGGAGATGTAGCTCAATGAAAGGCCTGGGCTCAATCTCCAGTACTGGAAAAAAAAAAAGTCCAAAGAATCCGGTGAGCAGCTGAACTGCAGGCCTATTAACCAGTCCTGGCTTCTGTTCAGGGAGCCAGAGTTCACTTCTGCTGCAGTCCTACCAGCAGGAATCTCTTTCTGTCCTAGTTAGAAGACTGGGGACTGGGTATGTGAGCTCCTAGGAGGAGCCTTGGTTTGATATCAACCAGTTGGAGCTTTTGTGGGCATGGTTAATAACCATCCTGACCCAAATGCCAGCGCCACTTACCAGCTGAATGTATTTCTAGACCTAGTGCTTAACCCTTGTCTCAAGTGCTTTTATTTTGAAGTGTGAATAATAAAAGTATCTTGGGATTATGTGGTGGATCTGTGTACCATTTTTGTTAGACAGACCATTCACAAGTGCTCTACCCTTGGCCTACTCTCTCCCATTGACCAGGTGGTGAGCTATGCCCCTTTCACGCTCTTCCCCTCACTGGTCCCCCAAGCCCTGCTGGAGCAAGCCTATGCTGTGCAGATGGACTTCAACCTGCTAGTGGATGCTGTCAGCCAGAACTCTGCCTTCCTGGAGCAAACTCTCTCCAGGTACTGGGAAGAGAGCCCTAGGGGGCCAGGAGCTGCTAGAAGCAAGGACCTGGAAGACTGGGGAGGCATGAGGTGTTTCTGTGTCCGCTGACTTGGTAGGGTAGAGATCAGGTACCCACCAGAGAAACGAGAAGCAGTACAATATGAGTCAGGAAAGCTGGCTTCTAATTCAAGTTTAACTACCTGTTTATATGACCTCAAGCAAGTTCCTTTTATTTTCTGGCCCTCAATTTCTTCATCTAATAATGGGAGGTTGACTTAAATCTAAGGTTTCTCCTAGGGATGACATTCTGTGATTCTGTGATCTATGACACTCTCCCACCGTCCTTACCTCCCACCCTTGCTCTGAAGACTCACATTTCCATTTGGAATTAGGGAAGGTAAGCCTAGTTTTAGAGGAAAACAGAAGGGAGGATTTGGGTTAAAGTCAGATTTCCTACATCTTTCCCTAAGCATTGACCCTCTCTTTTCACCTCAAGTCTCTTATCTTTGGGCGGTTCAAGATGCAGACTGCACTATACCCAGGGCACAAGGAAATAATACCCCTCCCCCATCCCTAGATCCTTTTGTTTTTTTCTGTTCTTCAGATCCTAGAATAAGTAAAATTTCTTCATTTATTTTAGAATTGAATATAGTATAAACAAGTTCTTTATTTTAGAACTAAGCCTATAAATACTATTATTATGTATATTTATATATGTTATACATATACTTATGTCTTTGAATACATTTTCCACAAAAACTAGATTTTGTTAGCAAAAAAATCTTTTATTTTTCAAAAAATCTTTTAAAAATGTTCACCTTGTGCTTGATGGTCCATGCTGAGGCAGGAGGATCCAAGTTCTAGCCTAGCCTAGGGAACTTAACAACTTAGCCAGACCTTGGAAAGAAAAAAGAGAGAGAGAAAGAGAGAGAAGGAAAGAGGGAGAGAGGGAGGGGAAGGAAGAAAGGAAAGCAAGCAAGCAAGCAAACATCTTGACATGAGGGTGGATATGAGAAGGGATCCTACTTGCAAGAATTTTGGAAACCATTGACTTGGAGCAAAAAACCCAGTGTTCATATAAACCCTACCCCCACTTTCTTGCTCGAGATGGGGCTGGCTTTGTACCTGCAATTCAGGATTGTGGGAACTATGAGCAGCCTGGCTAACCTGGCTAACCATGCAAAACCTAGCTCCTACAGGAGAACAGCAGCCAAGAACTTGAGATTGAAGGAGAGTACCTCGTCAGAAAAGGAAAAATGTGCCCCAGTTTCCCTGGAGGCTGAAGTCCACCTGGGAACTGTCCTCACCAAGGGCTGGGAAATACTCCCTGAGAGAACTCACCCTTGGGGGAGGGCTGGTGGGCAGCAGGGGAGCTTCAGGGAAGACCTGAGCTACTTGGCTCCCATTGCTGCTCTGCTGCAGGGTCTCTATAATGGTGAGACTACAAGCCAGGCTTGGGCAGGGTGTAGAGTCTGCCTGGGATCTTGAGAGGCAAGAACTGTGGTATTAATGACCTATGGACTCCTCCTCACTGTGCCTTTTCCTGATGTTCCAGAAAACCATACTGGATGGATCCCTACTACATGTCATATGTCACAGCAGGACACTGGGCTGCGATGATGCGCCTGCTCAGACTCAGACCCACTTACATGCAGTTTATGGACAAACATTAGAAATGACACTAATAATCATGCAAATAAAAAGGAAAGTTACAACTATAATCAGTGCTATAAAAGAGAGGTCCACAATCCAAGCATGATGGTACATGTATATAATCCCAGAACTCTGGAGGCTGAGGCAGGAGAATCACTGCAGGTTCAAGGCCAGCCTGGGCTACATGGTGAGCTCAAGGCCAGCCTGAACTACATAGTGAGACCCTGTCTCAAAAAAAAAAGAGGGCTGAGGATTTAGCTCAGTGGTGCCGCCTCCTGCCTCGAAGTGCAAGGTTTTGAGTTCGATCCCTGGGACCAAAATAAAAAAGAGCACCACAGTACTATGAGAACACCTAATGGGGATCTGACCCAGACAGGAAAGGCTTCTCTGGCAGTCATGTCGTATGATGACTGAAGAAGAAAATGGATATTTAGTTTGAGTCTAAAAAATCTTATTGAAGTGCAGGGTATATTTGCCCTGGGGTTGTCATAAAGGAGGAGGAAGAGGAAGAGAAGGAAATTTGTCCTGGGAAGTACCAGAGTACAAGGGAAGCTATGGAAAGTTAATGTTAGGTCATTGAGACAGCTTAGCAACTATCAAAGCTGTTCAAATATTAAATAGGTATATCATCTGCCATTCTGGGGTTCTTGGGACCAGAAGAACCTGTTCAATTCTTTGCAGGTAACATCTCATGTACTGTTTGCCACAAATCTATGATATAAGTATAATTATTTTTCCCTTCATTTTATAGTTGAGCAAACTAATATACCGAGAGCTGAAATGAGGTTGCCTAATAGTGGGTAGTAGCTGGGATTGAAACCCAGGTCACCTGGCTCTAAATCTGGATTCTTAACCATTATTCTCTTATTAGATTGGAATGAATATTTTGCCTCTAGACTCAGCGAGGATTCAGAAGTCAGTTGATGGGGTGGGACTTCTTAACCTTTAAGGGCCGTGTAACCTAGAAAATGTTCTGTGTTTCCCCCTCTAGCACCATCAAAAGGGATGACTTTACTGCCCATCTCTTTGACATCTACAAGCAAGTCTTGAAAGAGGGCATTGCTCAGGTAACCATTCCCAGGTCCTCCTAGTCTGACACCTGCCTGTCTCATCTCTGTTATTTTGTTTTGTTTTGATTTGATTTTACCAGAAGTATGTGGCTCAGGCCTTGATCTCATGGAAAGTTACCTCTCAATGGTCTCCCTGATTCTGTGCATCTCAGTAATCAATCCTGAAATGATCAGAATGATCCTACTGGGTTTGGGAGCCTCAGCTAGTGTCTCGTATCTCTACATGGAGATCATGTCACCTGCCTACTCTAGAGGGTTGCTAGACCCTTAGAGTCAGCCCCTGGGCAGATATCCTCAACCTTCAGTTTCCCCCACAGACTGTGTTCCTGGGCCTGAACCGCTCAGACTACATGTTCCAGCGCAGTGCGGATGGCTTCCCAGCTCTGAAACAGATTGAAATCAACACTATTTCTGCCAGTTTTGGGGGCCTTGCCTCCCGGACTCCAGCTGTACATCGGTGGGCTCCTTGGGCAACTGTGGGCTCAGCCTGATGGATCAACAGTCACTGGCTGAGCCAGGGATCTGCAGCTCTGACTGCCTTCCTGGGCCCTGGGTCATGTGCTCACCTCACTTCCCAATGCCCAGCATAGTTTCCACTTGTAACCAGATCTTTAGTATGTCAGGGAGAGAAAGGACCTAGTCGCTTATCTAATCTTTCCCTTTTATTATGCCAGATCGTGTAGTGTTGATGTTGGGGGGCATCTTCAAGAGGCCTGTAGGGAGAAAGGGCTTGACATATCTGAGGGCCAGAAGGGAATTCTGAAATCAAAGAGAGGAATGAAAGAGCTTCCATATGAGGGCTGCCTCACCATTTCTAAACAGCAGGGCTACTCCAGATTGCTATTATTACAGTCTGTAGCAGGATTCTAGTGGGCACCTGGGAGTCCAGAGTAAGGGGCTACAGCTCACCTGGATGCTGGGGTAGGGTGGAGTGAGGGGAAGGAGTCTCAGGGCTCCTCTGGGGATATTTACATGATGGGCCAAGGTGAGGGCAGCCTAGCATGTTCAGCTAAAGTGGCTCTTCCAAGAATTTGATGGTAAGATGCTCAGCTGATTCTCAGTAATGTTCCTGTAGGTAGCTGTGAGAACCCTCATGGGCAGAGGGTTCTTTTGATCCAACCAGTTACTGAATAGCCATCTCTCTTCCAACAGACATGTTCTCAGTGTCCTGAGTAGGACAGAAGAAGCTGCCAAGATCCTCTCCAATAATCCCAGCAAGGGACTGGCCTTGGGAATTGCCAAAGCCTGGGAGCTGTATGGCTCAACCAAGTAAGGATGTGGAAAAAAAGTGGGCCGGGCATGGTGGTGCATACCTGTAATATGAGCACTCAGGAGGCCGAGGCTGGATGATCGCTGCAAATTTGAGGCCAGCCTGGGCTACGTAGTGAGTTCAAGGCCTTAGTGAGTACATGAGCTACGTAGTAAGACCCTATGTCAAGGGGGAAAAAAAGTGGCAGCAGTATCTTGCTTTAGATTGAGCATTCATGAATGCAGCCACTTCTTCCTTGCTTGACATCTTTAGGGAGTGAAGGGATTTTTCTAGGAATGGAAACTTACACCTTTATGTCCCAAAATTATATTAATGAATTTTTCCATTGTCTTCTTAAATAAGCAATGCTGGGCTTGGTAGCACACACTTGTGTGAGATCACAAGTTCAGGAAATCACAAGTTCAAGCCCAGCCTGGGAAACTTAGCAAGACCTTGTCTTAAAATAAAAAAGGGCTGGTGATGTAGCTCAGTGCAGAGGCCCTGGGTTCAATCCCCAGTACCAAAACAAAAGGAGTGGGGAGATATAGTTCAAGTAATAGAATGCTTAACTACCTTTGATAGGTTAAAAGCACGCAGGAGGCCCTGGGTTCCATCTCTAATAAGGAACTATTTATTTATTTACTTTAAAAATAAATTTTATTTTATCCCTTCCCCCCCAAACCCCCTCCCCTCCCTATGTACAAAAGCTTTGTTTCCATTTTTTCCTTCTAATTTTAATTTTTTTGCGTCCCTTTCTCTCTTTCTCCCTCCCTCCTCCCTTGTTCCCCTTCCCATTTGAACACTTTCTTCCCAGTAGTAAGGAACAATTTAAAAATAGATCACTTAGTTAGATAAGCAGTGCTGACTATAACTTAACCTTTGTTGTTGGCTGGGTATCATGATTTTTCAGTGATTGCATCCTGCTGAAATGCAGTGGTGCCACCTAGGGTTAGAGAAGCATATAAGATTTTTTGCCTGCACCAGTAACTACTGCTGGATTTTTAAGTTCTCATTCATTTTCTTCACGGTTTTCCTGTCTGTTTCCCAGTTATCAGCTCACTCTTTTTGCTACTGCCTGTGTTCTTAAATTTGAAATCATTCACTGCCATCCCTATACCTCCTTTCTGTTTGCTGTGGTTTGGAAAAATAAATGATCTAGGTTGTGATGATTGTGTCTCAAGAGTGAGAAGCCCTCTTTGATGAGTAAATTAATCAACTTTGACTTAGGAATCCATTTTAACTGCTTGGATGCATTTTTTGCCTTCTCCCAATTTTCAACCATATTCCAGATGTCTAAACATAAGTGATTTAATCAAGGGGCTGCAAAACTAACAGTTACTACAATGTTAATATGGCATTAATTGTTATACCTTAATAAGGACTTAGCAGTGCCACACTGTTGTTCGAGATGATTTATGTTCACAATCTCATTGAATCCTCAAAGGAAATGCTCAGAGGTAGGTGGTTTTATAGATGAGGAAATTCAGGTTCTGAGAAGTGAAGTGAATTAAAGGTCAAAAGGTGAGTTGGTGGCAAAACAGAGTCTATCCCCTCCAGAACTTGCATTCTTAATCACTCTTTGGCCTCTAAGAGATCTTCTCTGGGCTTCCTAAGCCTCACTAAGACTTAGGAAACCTCAAACTCTGAGCATTCAGAAGTCATCAGACAAACACTCTTATCAAGTAGAACTCTTGACTAGGTTGCATTTTAAGAGTGAAGCCAGAGAATGGCTCAGCTAGGGAATTGCTGATGGACAAACACTGCAAATGGCTTCTCCTGCCAGACTGTGAACAACAGGAATTAGGCACTGGTAGGTAAGAACTATGTGGCACCTCAGCCAGAATTGGCTTCTCCCATTGTGAGAGAGGGATAGGCTCTTCTGCTCTCCCAGCACATGACCTTGGCAAGAATTTCTTTTCTCTGAACTTTAGTTTCCTTATTTGTAAAGTAGCGGTAATAATAATACCTAAAAGGATGGAAGTGAGAATTAAATGAGATCATGGATCTGAAAAATGCTTTTAAATCTTAGTGTGGTTCATTCTTTGGTACATTTAATAATAACATTAGTAATAATAAAAATAATGGCTACATTGGGCTTGTAGTAGTTTTATTTTGTACAAGAGCAAACTGAAGCTCAGAAAGGTTTATTAACTTGCCCAAAATTATAAACTAATAAGTTTACACTCATCTGCTTCTAAAGCCTGGGTTCTTTTTAATACCTCCAAGAAGTATGGCCCCATATTATGGATTGAAAAACAGGCTCAAGAATTTGTAGAGCAAATAAATTTTCATTAATCATTTCATGCTTTTTAAAATTTTTTTTAAGGAACCCTGTAAAAGCTAGGCATGGTGGCATGATGGCACATGGTTGTAATCCAAATACTCAGGAGGCAGGAGGATTACAGTGAGTTTGAGGCCAGCCTGGGCAATATAGTGAGTTCAAAGCCAGCCTGAACTATACAGTGAGACCCTGTTTCAAAGAAAATCAACACCCGCCCCCCCCAAAAGGAAGTCTGAAAAATGAATTATTTTATTTTAGACAAATTCTTTCAAAACAAAAGTACTGGGGTTGGAATGAGTAGAATAAGAAAAAAAAGGGACTCTTGGTGCTAAAAGGTTAAGAACTATGATCTAATTAACACCCTTAGTCCATGGATAGGAAAATCAGGGCCCAGGAGAGAAGCCACCTTGCTCAAAGAGAACAAGAGCAGAGCCATGACTAGCACTCAGGGGTCCTCTCTCCCAGCAGGCATGTTCCTGCCACTTCATCTTCCTTGGCTCACAGCTCTTCTAGTCCTACCCAGTTCAGACTGCTCAGAATTGAAGGCAGGAGGAGGTAGAATATGTTTTCTGGGTCTGGCTCCCATTGTGTGGTAGGTGGCAAGCTAACTTAATAAGCCAAAGCATGAAATTCTACTCAAACCTATAGCCTCCAGCCTTCCTCCTCCACCTCTGCTTGGAAGTGGACCAGCCTGGGCCAGGTGCCACCCTCCTACACACTTACCCTTGAGCAGAGCAATTCAGGCTACAAAATGAAGAGCAAGGCCTTTGGCTCTCAGGACAAGATGGCTCATGATAGCACCACTTCTAGCTTGTCTCTCAGATGCCAAGCTCAAGTCAGGATTCACATCTGACCTCATGAGATTTCAGGCAGGCTGGCAGAGGGGACATACTAAGACCTGTATTTTGGCCAAGTGGAAAGAAGTCAGGCAAACAGAGTTTAGTCCAAGAGGTTCAGCCTAGGTAGAAAGAAGCTAACACAAACAGGTAAGAGCTTGGGCATTGGAGGTCAGAAACAGATACTTAACATCCTAAGCCAAAGGTCTTAGCAAGAGGCCATAAGCATAAAGCAGTACAGATAAAGCAAAAATGAGTTTTTCACTGCTAAGCATTGCCCTTATAAATCTGGTGAGGGACTGGATTTAACTTTGACACTTAAAATAGCTTAACTGAAGGCTAGGCATGGTAGCACATACCTGTAATTCCAGTACTCAAGAAGCTGAGGCAGGCAGATCACCACAAGTGCAAGGCCAGCATGGGCTCCGTAGTGAGTTCCATGCCAGCCTGAACTATATAGCAAGATCTTGTCTCCAAAAACCCAAAACAAAATGAAAAAGGATAGCTTAACTAGCAACTAAACAGTTCTCTGGTATAAGGTTGTCCCTCAGTACTCCAGCCTTATTCAAGAAACATGCATAAATGGAGAGGAAGGGGCCCAATAAGCTTTTTTACCTATTAATACTGTAAGACCAAACGTAGGCCTATGAACATCACAAAAGTATGGGGAGGCCCCAGGAAATGCTTTATTTGTAACTGACTCTGGGTTTCTGTAGGGTTCCATTTAACTATTCTAATATTTCATGCAAGAAGCACACTTTTATTATATGCTTTATAGTATAGTAATAGTCATTAGCACCTGAACCCCAGTATTGTTCATTTACAAACAATGCTTCTGAATTTTTTTTTTTTGTACTGAGGATTGAATCCAAGGCCTTTGTACTGAGCAACATCCTCAGCTCTTTTTCATTTTTTATTTTGAGACATAGCCTTGCTAAGTTGCTAAATTGCCTAGGCTGGGCTTGAACTTGAGATCCTCCTGCCTCCGGCTCCCAAAGTCCTAAGATTACAGTTGTGCACCACCATGCCTAGCTCAAATATTTCTTGATTTCTTTTTTTTTATGCTGTGCAAGCTGCTTTATTTAGATGACCCCAGGTGAATGAGGGCCATTATTGTTGTATAGCCGTGGAACAGATCCTCATCCTTTACCTTGTTACACCTCCTCAGTATAAAGTTCCCTGTGACTATCCAGTCACATCCAATTTCTCCATTTCCAAAGAAGCCGCATAAAGGCACACTAGGAAAAAACTTTCCAAATGTATCAGCCTTAACATTGGCCCTGGCTCGGTAGTAGTGGAAGCCCCGGCCATCGCATGCAAACATGAAACTGATAGTGTCCTGCTCTGGGATGTTGGCTGCCTTGAGGCGCTGCATGGCTGCCTCTGCAGTCTTCTCATCATTGACGTCCTCATTAAGAAGTACCGTGGGACTCTGGATTCGGAGCCCACTGAAGGACAGTCCAACCTAGCTGGTGGCATTAATATCTAGAGGAGTCTTCTCAGAGGTCAGTGACAACAGACTGTCCACCTGGCCTCCAGCCAAGATGATGTTCATGTTGCTGAAAGTGCTGACCACACGCTGCAAGTAACTGCTGGCTCCCACCTTACAGAAGTTACAGCCAAACACAAGGACTATGCGCAACTCCTGGTTGTCTAGAAGACCCACTTCAGGGAGCTGATGTTTTTCTAGTGTTAACTTCTTTGGCTGCTTAATAAAATGAAATGGCTGTGTTTTTATTCCTTCAATTTGAGAAAATAACAAAGAAAAACCAGATTCTCCAATTTCTATTTCCTGATGTTGGTTGCTACCTGATCCCATTGGAGTCACTGCAATTCCTGGGGTCACAATCCCGAGGACTTGGCACTGTTCTGGGAACAGCTTCTCGAGGGCAACTGCTGTTTCCATGCTCATTCTTTTCCTTGATTTCACATGGCCCCGACGCTGCTCCTGACAAACGTTTCTGAATCGGCCATATACAGAAGCGTCCTTGGTAAGATGTGAACATTCTTGAGCTCCTCAGTGACAGCGCACAGCACTTAGTGCCCAGCCCTCGGACACCCAGGCCATGGAGCCTTGGGCCCACAGCACGCCACGCGCGCATGCGCTCCAGAGCCGGCTCACGCTGCGGGGAAGCCGGGCGCGGTCGGCGGCAGGTGGCCGGCCCGTGTCCCGGTCCCCACCCTCCCACGCACCCCACCGGAGAGGGAGGCTATGGACTGAGGGGCGGTGACCTAGGGACAGCCAAAGCCTGAGCTTGTGGATGGTGGACCTGGCTACCCCCTCCCGAGGTCCCCGCCCAGACTTCTGGATCCAGGTGGCCCCGACCTTCACCCAGCTGCGCCCAGGAGCGCCTTGGCGGGCAGGAAAGCGAGCATGCGCTCCAACCACCTCTGCCAGGTTGCTGAGCACGAGGCGCCTGGGAGGTCTAAGCCTCCAGCGGGCTCCATGCCCGATGCCACTGCTCTTGATTTCTTGATTTTCAAATACTTCAAATTCTTCTATATTCCCACTTGTTTATTCTTTCAGACATGGAATCTCTAAGTTCTGAGAGAAAATCCTTTAGGGTCTTGAGATGTTTTTAAATCTAAATTTTAATTTGCATAGAAAACTGACATCATTACAATATTTCATCTCGCTGGAGAAGGTACAGAAGTATTTCAATTTTTTCCAAGTTTCCTATTTTTCAGGAAATTATGTGCTATAGCCTCAGGCGTCTCTACCTGAGACAATCGAGTTGAGGGAACCTCTGCTCTTTCTAGGAATCTGTGTTCTCTTATTTCCAAAGAGGGTGAGACAAAGGAAAGACAATTGTGCTTTTTTTTCCCAGTGCTCTGGTGCTACTGATTGCTCAAGAGAAGGAAAGGAACGTATTTGACCAGCGTGCCATAGAAAACGAGCTACTGGCCAGGTAAGTAAAGGAGTAGGACTTCCAGGTATGGCATGCCAGGGGCAGGGGCACACTCAGAACATGGGACCCACTCCCTTTGCCTCTTGTTCATTTTTCCCAGAAACATCCATGTAATCCGGCGAAGATTTGAAGATGTGTCTGAGAAGGGGTCTCTGGACCAAGACAGGAGGCTGTTTATGTAAGCATACCCAAGGACCCCCTACTCTCTGGTTTATAAAAGTCTCCTGCCACCCCCTTTCCCCAAATGATCTTTTCTTCTGGGAGCTGGGACAGCTTGTTTTCTTCTCTCCTAATTTCTGAAATATCTCATCCTCCTGGAAATTTCGGAGAAGGCCATCCAAACTATGCTTCTAAAGGGTTGTATCAGAGCCATTGACATTCTGGAGAAGGGAATCATCCTTAAAGATAACCTTGGTTTTCAAGTGCCCCTAGCTCCACACCAGTTTTCTTGCTCCTCTTTGTGGCTGGTCAAGTTAGACATGAGCAGTTATAGACTGGGTAATCAGGAGGTGAAGGGGCAGCTGGCTCATTCTCTGGTTGGTCTGAATGCCACTCTGACCTCAGGCCTGGATTTGTCTTCTAAACCAGGCCCTACCTTTTTCTCCAGGGGCTGCCACCAGGTGGCTTTAGGGCCATCAATTTGGATAGCATTTAAGTATACATATTTAGACCTGGGACTTTGTTAAAGTTAAGAACGTCCATGGAATTTCATAATCCCACTTACTATGTTCCAAAATGTACTTTTTTCATAACAAAACAAAGTAGTTTACTTTCCAGATAAACCAGGCAATATAAAATAGGTCAAAGAAAAGAAGTTTAAAAAAATTGTGTCTTAGCTAGACTCATATTTTTGCATTCTTCATCCCCCACCTTTGCATTTTAAGAAATCTTAGCTTGAGCTGGCCATGGTGGCACACAGTTGTGATCTCTAGCACTCTGGGAGGCTGAGGCAGGAGGATCACCAGTTCAAAGCCCAGCCCGGGCAATTTGGCAACTTGGCACAATCCTGGTGCAAAATAAGAAAGCTCTGGCAATACAGCTCAGTGCCAAGGCCCTGGGTTCAATCTCCACTACAGGGGTTGGGGGCGGGGGGGAGAGAGAGAGAGAGAGAGAGAGAGAGAGAGAGAGAGAGAGAGAGAGATTGAGAACAGAAAGAAATCTTTGCCTTGTGTCAGCTAATTTAAGCAGTGGAAATATGTGTTTTGCTAAGGCAGGGCAATATAATTCTATTACTTCGTAATTTTAAATCCACATTTAAAAAAATTTACCTGTGATTCTGTGTTATATTATTTCCTTCTAGCTTTCGTAGAATGACTCTAGATCTAGACTATTCTAAACCATTCTAATACTGCATACCTGTGTGTTTTTAATGGAAGTACTGGTGATGTGGGGCATTGACTTTTACTCCTAGTGAACTCTCATCCCAAGTCCCTCTGTGGAATACCTTTCAAAAAAACCAAATATATTTTGGTGCCCTGAACACATCAGTTATAAATTAACATAGCAGATTTTTCCATTCTGTATTCTAGGGATGGCCAGGAAGTTGCTGTGGTTTACTTCAGGGATGGCTACATGCCCAGTCAGTACAGTGTAAAGGTTGGTATTTTCTGTTAGACCATTCTTTGCCTCCTGGGACCCACCAGAGCTCCACAGAGACGCACCTCAAGTATCACAACAACCAGGGTTTTCTCTGAATCCTAACTTCAGTTCTTCCTCAGGAACTTGCTGCTGGAACCTCCTCTCCTCCTACAAGCTTTTTGCTACCTCTCTACAAACACACTGCCTTGTAGAATCTGAATCCTCAGGAATCCACAGTGCATTAACCATTCACACATTTTCCAGAGGTAGGCTGGCAAATGTTTAACAGGCATTTTTCTAGGAAGAAGAACCCCATTTTATAGCATTTCTTGATTTCAGTAATGTAATTTTTAGCCATCCCACTTAACATCTCTGAGCACAGAGCTGGGAAGAGATGGGTGTGCTCAGCCCTTGCTAACTGATGCAAGTTAATTCTAGCAAACCACTGGCATTTTCTTCCTCTTTGGCTCTCCTTTATCTGAGCCAGAGTTTTTATTATCTGTTCATTCAGGTTTATAGCAATGATGGTATCCTCTCATCTTGCTATCCTATCATATAGTTTCAGAATTACTTTGCACATGTTATTTCATTTAACTCTTAACAACCACCCTGAGAGGTACATAATTATCTCCATTATAAAGATGGGGAAACTGAAGCTTAGGGTGATATAGAAGCTTTCTAAGGACCCACAGAAAGTTCTCAGGCTTTCTAGCTCTCAGGCTGATGGTATTCCCAGTATACCATTCTTTTCCCTTACTCCTAGTGTCCACATCAGAAGCTAAGAAGCCTGGTTTCACTTGGAAGAAGGTAAAGGAAGAAATAAGTTAGGAAATACTGAGGGCAGTGGGCTGGGGCCATGAACCTGACTCTGCCTCCTGATTTCAGTTTCTGAGAGCAGGAGCTACACTAGAAAATTGAGGGAGCTACTTCCAGGTCTGCACTTCGTCTAGGAGTCCCCCTGGGATAAACTCTTGAGGACATGCTATAGAGGTGGTAGCTCTATGGAAGGTTCTTTCCTCTAGAGAAGCAGTTGGTAGTGCTGGGCAAAGGGAGAAACTGTCTGTTGGGAAAATGGATCCAAGTTTCAGGAAAGGGGGATGAGGGAAGGGATTAAGAAAATTTAGAAGAGAGGGAGCTAACAAAGAAGACTAGTGTATATAAGGATATGGACATTCTTAGGGAACTGAGGTGGTCAAATTAGGTTTAGAACATGGAAATACAGTGAACCCTCAAGTTACGACTGGCCTGACATGAACAACTTGGGTTATGACTGGAATCTTTGCTTTAACTTACAAACAAAGTCTTGAGTTACAACCCAAATGCTGGCCACTTGTGCCTCCAGATGGACTCAGATAGATTTAACCCTTAAAGAGTTCTGGAAGGAACACTGAAACATCCTTTCCTGTGTGGGGTTAACTAGAAATCCTGGGCCATGTCTCTCCAAGGACACTGAGATCTTCTGCCTGTATACGGGAGAGAGATTTTGAAGGCTGTGTAGAGGAGCCTGAGCCTTCAATTGACCAACCTGAGTTAAAACCAGCCCTCAGGAATGAATTGAGTTCATAAGTCAAGTGTCCTCTACAAGGCTTGGTAACTTGCTAAGTGACCCTGGGCGTCCCTGTTTGTGTTTGTGTTTTGCTTTCCTTCTTTAATCTCATATTTGGAGCTCCTGTGACTGCCCAGAGCAACAGACTAGGACAGGGGACTGGTTGTTGGTGAAGATCAGGTTAAGGTGCTACAGGTCAACAACATTAGGCCAGGGCAACAGTTGTTCCTCAGGCTTTAGCCTTGATCCTGCTGTTGGTAGTCGACTTTGATCTGGAGCCAGGGACAGATTGCCTTCTCATGCTTGAGAATAGGGACTGGAGCTGGGAGGCATGACCCTCTGTTGTTTCCCTGCTTCTTATATCCTAAGTTTCTGGTACAACAGACCATTTGTCTGCAGGTCTTTGTTCATATATATATTTTGTTGTTGTTGTTGTTTTGTTTTTTGAGACAGTTTAGACTGTCCTTGAACTGACTATGTAGCCTAGGCTGGCCTCAGATTCACAGAGATCCTCCTGCCTCAGCTTCCCAACTGCTAAGATTATAGGCATGCGCCACCACACCCAGCTCATTCATATTATTCTGTTAGCCTGAATACACCTTCTCCATTGACTCTCACCTGTCAAGCTCAGCCTATCAAGACACTACTCAAATGTTACTTCACTCAGTAATAATAACATACTTACTGACTACCTACAAAATGCCAGAAGCTGCATTAGACACCAGGGAAAACAAGATGAACAACAGAGGTCTAGTCTGGTCAAGGAGATGGGCATCCGAAAGTAAATAAAAATTTAAAAATATTTCCTCTAGTGGAGGTGTGACTGCTTTAAATGAAACAGGGTGAAAAGCTAGAGAATTATGTGGAAACCCACATTAAATAGAGTGGTCAGGAAAGGCTTCTCTGCAAAGGTGACCGAGCCAAGACTTAAGGATGAAAGGGATGTAACCATCCATGGGAAAAGCCAAACAGAAGATAATTTTAGGCAAAGAGAAAACAGCAAATGCAAAGGTCCTCAGGGAGGTTTGTGTGTTGAGGTTTGTGTATTTCAGGAATGACAGACCTGTCTAGCTAAAACGTGGGAATCAGGAGGCACAGAGGGTGGGATGGTAGTGGCAGCATGGATTTAGGCTGAAAAAATAGACAGGAGCCAGATCCTGCACAGTCTTACAGGCCATTGTAAGGAGTTTGGATTTTATTTGGTAAAAAACAGAAAATATACAGTTTGAAGAGAAGCCAGAGATTGGAGTATAGAATTTTATTTGGAATATAGTAGGAAGTTAAGCTCATAAACAAGTACCTTGTGCTCATCAAACCTCCTGATCAATTTTTCTGTACCCTTACAGAGGGCCTTTTCCTCTTTTGTCATTTTCCCATTAGTTATGGTCATGTATCACTGTGCTAAATTATGAGTTCCCTAATGGCAAGACTCCTGCAGATTCACACCTGCCTCCATAATGATATTGTAGTGATCCTGGAAGAAAATCATTGTGAAGATAAAAAGCACAATACCTGGCACCTGATGGATGCTTAGTAAAGGTCAATTAAAATAAAAGGAAAAAAAGAAATCTTTCATCTTCTTCCCTTTACAGAACTGGGAAGCACGCCTACTGCTGGAGAGGTCATGTGCTGTCAAGTGCCCAGACATTGCCACCCAGCTGGCTGGGACTAAGAAGGTGCAGCAGGAGCTGAGCAGGGTGGGCGTGCTGGAGGCGCTGCTCCCTGGCCAGCCCGAGGCTGTGGCCAGACTCCGTGCCACTTTTGCTGGCCTCTACTCACTGGACATGGTACATAGGCAGCCCATTTTTTCCTACCACCATCCTCCTAGGTGGCAGAGACCTGGAACCCAATGTGTTGGGGAGGGTGGAGCTTGGAATTATGGTTGGCTTTGTGACTGGGGTCAGTGCTGCTCTAGGGAACCCCCATGTAGAGCCTGGACACAGCCCAGCCTCGAGGCTGGAATCCACTGTAAGTTCCCTCAGCAAAGGTGGAGATAGGGGTGGCAATGAGGGGAAGGGACTAAGACACATAGCAAGGATTGAGGATTATCTGTACCCATTCTTCAGGCTACCTGCTGCAAGGCCCTGTGTGCCAGAGAAAGGCCTGTTTGTGCATTTATTGCTGCACGGGTTTGGCTGGGGGGTAGGGGGTCACATCCAGATAGGAGAGTCCAGCCTGAGGGAGCTTATGGCTGTTCCCCCTCCTGCTCTTCCTCTGATGCTGCTCTGCATGGCCAGTGGGACCTTTGCTGCCTCTTTAACCTTAAGACTCCTGGTGACTACTTTCTGCCTTCTACCAGGGTGAAGAAGGGGACCAGGCCATTGCTGAGGCCCTTGCTGCTCCAAGCCGGTTTGTGCTAAAGCCCCAGAGAGAGGGTGGAGGTAGGTGAATCCCTTCCGCAGTGAAAGAGGATAGCAGGTTATCACCAGTGTTCACTGGCACTTGGTATGGACACAGTCTCAGGCTTGGCAGATACAAGAGGAAGTGACAAAGGTCCCACCTTGGACAGTGTTCCCCAAGACCCTGTGACTAGGTGCTGTGGAACACAGGGGAGTCTGATTAACCAGCACTGGAGGGTTTGAATAATTTTAGTCTGAGATGCCTGTGGGTAGATTGAAGGGAAGCAGAGTATGGGCACACTAGGAGGTCTGAGGGAATACATATCTATCTACCTGCTACTTCTAAACTTTTTGAGGACAGGGGTCATGTCTGCCTTATAGACCCACAGGAGATGATTTTTGATCTGGGTCTTTCTGTTGTTGTTGTTTATCTGGGTCTTAAGGGATGGGTATAGGAGTTTCCAAGGCAGAAAAGGAGGAAAAGCACTCTAAATAGAAGGACAGTCTCAAGCAAAGGCACTGTGCCATGCATGGTATGTTTGGAGATTAATGAGAAACAGGTGAGGCTAGAGTGGGAGATAGGAGGAGGCAGAAATTTGGGGTGGGAAAGATGTGCTTGGTTTGTTTTTTTTTTTTTTTGGTTACTAGGGATCAAACTCGGGCCCTTGTGCTT